GAGGATTTTTAAAAACTGACCTTCCTGACTCCAATCCCAAATACCCCATGTATTTCTTAGTTGTGTATGTAATATACTACAGTGTTTATGTTCCATAATACAATATAACATAGTATTTGGCTTCCTAATAATAAATTAGTGAACCAGAATAGCTCCCATCTATTTGATTTCTGGACTAAATGTGGGGGTTTTTTTAATTTTTTTTTTTTTTTAGTTGTTGTTGGGTCTTTATTTTATTTATTTATATGCGGTGCTGAAAATCCAACTATGCTAGGCAAATTCTCTACCACTGAGCCACAACCAACTAAATGCTTTTTAAATACTTAAATTTGATTATAAACTTACATTTAATTTTATGAGCTTATTTTCCTGTTCTATTTAATATATTACATTTCATGTTTCATAGGGAAGCATTAGTCTTACTATATCTTGAACATATTACTTCCAACAAATGTTCTATGTTGCTTTACATTGCCTAGTTGCAATTACAGATCTTTACTGATTACAATTACCATGTAAAAATATAACTTATGTTTATTATTTACTGAAGAAATAAAGATATATCCATTTATAGATCAGTTTAACCAATTTAGCCAAAAGAAGCTAACACAGCATTTGGGTCAATAAGAAGTGTGAATAACAATGTACTTACCAACCATTACTATTCGGTCTTTATGTGTACAAGAAACCTGTACACATAAAACAGGAGCATACTAACCTACGTAAAATTTTAAAACATTAAATTCTTCCTATTAAAAGCTTCATGAGTGACATAGAAACCGAAGTGGGGTCTGCTTTTCTGTGCCACTTTTAAATTTATATAAGCTTTCAAGCTCTCTGATTCCGAGCTAAAAGAAACACATAATTAGGTATGAACAGTGGTAAATGCAGTTATAGGCAAACTCCTAAAACCAGCACAATTTTAAACATAGGACAATAAATTACATTTCAGAAGGCTAATTTTCTGCTTAGTTATAGCTGCGTTTTTGCAAGGAGACCCACTCTTGGCTAGTAGCACCCCCTTAGTCCTTTTGGTACTAGAGTCCCAGCTCTGGACACCTCTGACTCAGAATGCTGAAGAAAGGTCCCCCTTCTCCTTCAATGTTCCCCTTTCCTTCTGTGTCCAAAATATTCCACAACATCAGGAACAGCCAAAAAAATGCAGGATCTTTAGTATTTGTTGCAAAGAGAAACAGTTGAGTTAAACTCTTTCCACTTCACATACTGTACTCTGGCTTAGAATCCCTCCCCAGGATTTGGATCCTTGATTACACAGAGCTGGTTGTGGTCAGTACCCACCAAATAGCCTCCCTCATGCATTATTTTCTATACTAGCTATTTTCAAGTCAGTGTTAACTCTTTAAATTGATTTGGTCAACCTACTTTTTCTTTTCTCTTGACTCCCACAGCTATTATCCTAATGAAAAATTTAAATTTTCAGGTTCCACTTGAGCAAAGCCTCTGAACTTCTTAAATCTCTAGCAAATAGTAATCTTTCTCAAATTGGGTTTTATTTCATCCCCTGATAGCACACCTGGTGACAATACCACCTGAAGTTGTTGGAGCATATGCATCCACTGTTACCATAGAAACTCTACCAGTACCCTCAATTACCATGTCCCACATCTGTAGTTAGTCCATAGGTTAATCATCACAATTTCTGACAGTATTACAGTACATTGGTTAAGCTCATTTCTTGTTGACTTGTTTTGATAATTTTTCTACATCATTTCAGAAGACAAACTGAACTAAAATTTGCCATTATCAGAGAACATTTTAATTGTACCATAATTTTCAATTTAAAAATAGTCATCATAATTTCATGTTATGATAAACATTAATTGAAGTCAAGCTGATGTAACCCAATTTTAAAATCCTGGATTTGGTTATGCTAATTGATCGAAAGCATAGTTTACAATTGATTCCAGTGATGTCCCTGTGTCTTTTTTATTTTTATTTTGGTAGTGCTAGGGATCAAACCCAGAGCCTCATGCATGCTCCTCTGTGTCTTTAAGAGTTAAACATACGTATGTTATGTGACAGGAAAATGATATGAAAATACACTTTTTTAAAAATAAGAAACTAGGTACTATTTTAATGATAGCTGATTTCCCATTGCACTTCAAAATGAAGTATGGGGCAGGAAGAAATGGGAAGACATATTTCAAAGGATACAAAGCAGATTTGTAGGATAATCAAGTTTAGAATTCTGTTGTACAATATCAGAGCTAAAGTTATTAGAATTGTTTTATATTAGCCAGTTTTTTTAAGTGGTAGAATTTAGCTGCTCTTATCACAAGGAAGTAGATATGTGAGGTGATATGTTAATGTGCTTTACTTTAGTAACCATTTTACTGTTTTTTATATATCTCATATCATTGTAAACCTCAAATATGCAAAATAAGATTTATTTCTTAAAAAGAAAGTTTCAGTAGTGTACTTCTTTCTCTTCCTTCCTGGCTTATATACTAATGATGTAATGTATTTTACTTTTCAAAATATCACAAACACTAGTTTGCATCGCCATTATTTTTGTTTGAAACAAGGGTCACCAAACTAAACAAACTGCCTGTTTTTTCAAAAATAATTTTACTGAAGCACAGCTAAAAAAATAATAATAATTCCCACGCTGGAAGATCAAAACTGTTGTCTTTTTGATTTATCTTTATTTCTTCATGAATTCATAGGAACTAATGGTTTACTGACACATAGCAAAGTATCTCTTCACAAAATGTTTTGAATAGTGTTTGTCTGACATAGAGTTGAGATGCTAGATCTTTACAGCCTGTGTTTCAAAGATGGAATAATTCCTAAGAACTCATTTTGCTTTATAAAATTATAGCTCTAGAGGCATTGCAGGTTGCTATTTTGTTTTTCTAAATAAAAATCTTAGTGGACTTATTTGTCTTGTTCTTCAGTGCACATACATTAGTAAATGTATGATTTGGAATGGTATTTCATGAAGAACTCATTCTGTAAATTTAAAAAAATGATTTAGTTCAGCAGTGAACTATAGACATTTTTTTCAGAAACTTGTATATTTTCTTTAAAGACCATAGTTTGAAATGAAAGAAAAATTGCTGCTATAAACCTTTACAGTAAAGAAGAATTATGGATTTTTTTTCCTCTAAGATTTGCTACATATCCTGTTCTCAACAGATAAGCCATTAATGGGCGTTACATTTAACTGCTTGTTATGACCTTCTCTGGTGAAAGAAATAATGAACAGAATTCAGCAGATGTTTTATAAGAATAATAATTATTTCATAAACGTGATACTAAAATAATTTTTACTTAGATAAATAGAAAAATGAAGATTCTAAGATAAATTCCTTGAAACACAAAATAATCTTACAGTATTTTAATGTTTATGGGTTGCATTTTCCAATACTCTGCCTAGTCCCTTCATATTATCTCAATTACATACATTTAACTTTCATATTATTTTATATTATATTACCTTTTACATTGCACATACATTTATTAAAAAACTCTCAGAAAAACAAAATTCAAAAGAAATTGAATTTTCTCATTTGCAAATTCAAGAAACTGTTTAGTTTGGTGTTTATCCAATTAATACTGATTTATCAAATGCATCTGTTTAATTGTTCAGATAGTTAATTATTCAATGTAAAGGAATACATTGCTACTTTCTCCTTGGGTCCTAATCTCATAACTTGCATCATCAATAAACTGTCATTCATTGCTTTCTTGCTACATCCACCTTTTTATGTCTGTCATTGACATGAGATACATGTTTGTTTTTTGTGTCTTTTTTAAAAATGTGCTTCTGAGGAGCCTTCAGCTTGAATTATATAGTTCTTCCATCCACAAATATGGCTGAAAGTTGAACTTGACATGGATCAATATGATCTGGGCTAAATATCTAAATGTGACTGATTATGTTAGCATCATGTCCACAGATCAATATTGAGTTTTATTATGAGTCTGACTCTATAATTGGGTTTAATCAATAAACTTTTGTCTCTTTTCCTTTACAGTTTTAGGATTGTACCATGTAGGTTTCAGAAACTACACTTAGCTTACATTTAGAACTCTGCTTTTCTTGTGATGACCAGAAAAAGATCTATCTGTGAATTTAAAGGAACAATGGAGCTTCAGTTTTACCATTGTGAGAAGAGTCCATTTCTATCTTGATAACTGATTGCTTCCTCAGTATGCACTGAGTTTCTAACAGAGCTAATGTAGTAACACCCCAGCACTCCTTTGGGGTAGTATGTGGCTCTTTCTTCCTATACTTAGTAAATCACATTGAAGACTTTGACAAAACATACCATTAATGAAAGCAATCATAAAAGCTGGCCTTTTGATAAACCCGCAGGGTCTACAGGCGTTGAAAGATGCAATCTGTAAAGAACAATAAATTTGGACCTTTGATTGAAGTGCCATTTGGGACGTTATGCTTTGTCTGCATATTTGCACAAACATGATGCTCCCTTTTCATGTCTCTTAAACTTGAAGCTTGAGAGCGTTCATTGCCATTTCTATATTAGAGCTGGTCCCATTAAAAGCTCCATACAAAAAGAAGACTGGAAGTGATCCAGCTGAAGCTTGTGTGTTCATTTCTGCTCTAGTTTGCCATTTGGAAAACAGGCTTCTGGCCATCATTGCTGTTTTTTCTGAACAGACCCGGGTTCTTTTCCAGTCACTTCCTTCAGTAAATACACACTTAAAATACATCAACTTTTCTTAAAGTTAGAAAAATCAAAGAGCATTCCTCTGATAGAGATTAGAAATAGCTTTGAATGGAAGTAGAATTTCTTCATTCTTTTGATTTGTGGATTTTTTTCCATGTCATTTTCACTTAGACTTCAAAAATTTACAATTTATATTAAGATACTGAATGCTTTCCATCATATTTTATGTGACAAAAGGTAATCTGTTATCATGAGATATGAATTTTGGATTCTGCAAAACTACTTGTTCATTATTTAACCAGAAAAAACAAATGCACTGCACATGCTTTCCTGAATTTACAGATGCAGACCGTTTTCAGAAACATGGTATGGATGAGTTTATTTCTGCTAATCCATGCAAGCTTGACCACGCCTTCCTTTTTAGAATACTCCAGAGACAGACCTTGGATCACAGACTGAATGATTCCTATTCTTGCTTGGTGAGTACAAATCTCTATATATGGTCACCTATAGGTTAGAAGGAAAGATTTGAGAAAGTGAGAAATGCTTGTTATAAAGCAGCATTTTATTCCTGACTCATTTAATAACTGTAGTTGGGGTTAGGGATAAAGCATTCCAATCAATTGCTTCTCGATTTGAAAATTATACACTTGAAGACCACTGCTGTGCCACTCAATAGACAGGAGAATAGACTCAAATTGACGCTGAACTGTGTTTTATCAGTCTCTCCAGAGAAGGCTGAATGAAAACAGACTTTAAATAAAGATTTTTTTAAAAAACCTTTATTACAAGATTTGTTGACACATGTGCTGACATTTTAAGGTTAAAATTCTGTTCACCAGATGCTGATGTCTTACATTTATCTCATTCTTAGAAGGACAAGGGAGAGAAACAGTGGGGTAAACAATATGATGAGGCCCATACATGTCAGAGGAAAGTTGAGTTTCATGTAGCCTTCCAAAGAGAATTTGAATTCCTTTACAATATAAATGCAGGGGTAATTAAGTAGCTAAACTTCTACCTGATGTAAGTTAAAAGTGTAGCTGAAATTTTGGATAATTTATAATTGGAAGGAATGCTCACTACCTCAGAATGTGGGGACTAAGAATCATATGTGCCCTTCTAAAAGCTTATATTGGAAATGGCGATTCCTTTGAAATTTTTCCTCAAAATATGTCCATTTCTATTACTACCTGAATCTCTTGGACTCTTAGGAACTTCATACAATAAGTTACAATAGTTTTGAAGTAGGATTTTGTATAAGATATGCTGTCAGCTCATTAAGATGCTTAAATAGACAGGGAAAAACTTAGTTTATCATAGTTTACCATTAATGATGGTTTATTCATTCTTTCATAGATTACTTATTAAGTAAGTCTTATTCTACATGTAATTGAACAATGTAAACCTGATCCAACTGAAATTATGAAATTACAAGGAAAATTAAGCAAATCTTCCCATGGCACTCTGTATCTTCCCAGGGACTATCACACTGAGAATGTCAATAAGGGACAAGGGCCTCTTAGATTCTCCTCCAGGGTTTGGTTACTGAATTATCAAAAGTTGTTTTGCCTTTATTGATGATCCCACAGATTATATGAAGTCTGAGACGCATGCTGCAGTGTGACTTCCAGAACATAGAAGGGGGAGAGAGTGATATAGTTAAGAAAGAGTGTCTGGAGGCAGGATGACCCTAGGTGTGAATCCTGGCTCACCCCCTGATTTGCACCATGATCTTGGACAATTTACTTAACGTCTCTCAACTGCTGCTTATTTATCTATAACGTGGAAATCATAATACCCACCATACATGAGGCTTCTAAATATCACAGATATAATTTATATATTCTGTCTCATACAGTACCTCTCCCACCAGCACAATAAGTACTCAGGGATCTTTCATCTCCTCTCCCTGCCTTCTCTTTCTTACCATTCTTTTTCTCCTCTTTTATGCTTATCCTGCTTCCTTTTAAAACTCTCTCTTCTTTCTCTTTGTTATTTTTAAAATAATGCATACACATAGTCTAGTCCATCAGACATTGCATAAACCAACTCTGGTTAATCTCATCCTCCCGTGCGCTAGCAGGCTGCCTACTGTTTCCATTGGCATGCTCACCCACAGGTCGCATCACCTCCCAGGAGGACCAGGTGCTGCTACTCTAAAACATGAACTCTGTGGTACTACTCACAGAATGACTCAATGGGGAAAATATTCCGAATATTTAAGTACCCAGGTAATACATGTACACAGCTGCTGTTCTTTTAGTTCACTTTATAAACTGCTTTCAGTGATAGTGTCTGCTTTGCCATCCTATTTTTAAATGAGTCCTAAGGAGATTGATGTTTATGGAGTATCATTCTTTTTTATGACTGACAAATTTAAATTCCATGAAAAAATTTGAATAATTTTGAATGCAAGTGGAGAAGAAGAAGTTGCCCATGCATTGCTGCAGCAATAGATAATATTAGGTTGTCAGTGTCCCAGATCAGTTCCAAATTGATGACACTAGGTCTTCTGAAAATAATAAGAAACATACCACTAATACAATAAAAATCTGAAGACACTTTCAAAAAGCTTCTTCTTATAATGACTAAAACAAATCTTACTATAGAATGAAAAAAAAATGTTTTTTTTTTTTCTTTTGCAGGGTTGGTTTAGCCCTGGCCAGGTCTTTGTGTTAGATGAGTACTGTGCCCGTTATGGTGTGAGAGGCTGTCACAGACATCTCTGCTACCTTACAGAACTGATGGAACATTCAGAAAACGGTGCTGTCATTGACCCAACCCTGCTCCATTACAGCTTTGCATTCTGTGCCTCTCATGTGCACGGCAACAGGTATTTTGACTTGCAAATTCACAGTGAAATGTATAGGGTTGACTAGAAAAAAGAGAAAAATGTGCTTTGCCATTATCACCTAGTAACCAATTTAAAATAGCAAACACTTCTTATAAAGAAAAAAAAATACCACAAAGGAAAAATGTACATCAATATGCTCTTGATTTCTGTGGGCTACACTTTATGATTCTTTTTTTGTTGTAAAGCCACTTGAAAAGGAGAGGAAGGGAGTATCTACAGAGTAAATGTTGCCTTTTAGTTTTTATGTATTACCTACTAGTGGGATCTGTACAAAGTGTCCAGATGATTCCTATTGGAATGCATATATGTGCCTGGGGAGGATTCATTGATGGGTTTGTGCAAAAGCTAATGATCTTTGCTTTTCTTCTGTGTAATAAAGTTTTATTGATAAAACAAGATAAATTATGAAGCAATGCAGAGTCTTCCCAACCCCTTCCCTAATTTTTACATTTGGAACAAGTATTCCTGTATAGCAGTCTGAGCCAGTAACCTTAACTCTGGCTTTACCAAGTTGAAAGGAAGAAAAAAAAAAAAACCTATTTTTAATTTTTAAGCCCCAAACCTCTGAGCTTAAAACTTCATCCACATCTGCTCATCTCTTCATCTTATCTGCAGAGCATCTTTGCTCAGGTTCCCCCTATAAACGTTGTGCCCACATTCCTTCCCCTTCTGACCTTGTTTTAACCACTTACTCCATTGTGCCCTCTTTGCACTTCCTTTTCCTTCTTCTCACAAACCTGTCTAAGCTTCACACAACAAAGTGACCAAGCATTTCAGAATCGGACTGTAAGTACTCAAATGAGTACTTACTGTGTGACACTTGGTAGGTTTCATCATCTATTTGTGTCTCAGATCACCTAAGAAAGATCTAACAATGACATCTCTCTTGTAAGTCATAAACTGTAATAGGGATTAAATACGTTAATCAATATCAGACACTTAAAACAGTGCCTGGCACATGCACGCTCAAAAAGTGTTCACTAGTAGCTTGTATTGTCATGACAAGTGCCAGTCCTTTGTTCTCTTTTTCTTCCCAAACTTCTCTCTTTCCCTTATCTTGTTTCCAGCCTCTTATTCACTAATCATACTTATTGAAATGGATTGCCCAAGGACCTAATCCAGTTGTCTCTTCTTAGGCTTCACTTTCTTAATTTTCTTCTTATTCTATTTTAATTTTTTTTGACCACCCCTTTGCTAACAGTTTCTGTTCCTCCAGATTCTTAAGTGCAATACAGGACTTTTCCCACATGTGTTTTCAAACCTGATTTCTTCTTTCAGAGAATTGTTCTTCTTCAGTGATCCCACCCCCTTCCATGGCTTCAACCATGGCTTCACCGTTTGCAGATGATTCCAGCCCACTTATTCACCTAAGCTATGGATCTCTATTGACAATTCACAGCTTGAATATTCCGCTGATACTTTCGTCTCTCCATGTATAAAATGCATCATCTCACTAAACCAGGTCCTATACCTCTTGTAGCTCCTCACAAAGTACCTGGCATAAAATAAGTATTTAAGTATTTAATAATTACTTGATAAATGAATGAATGACTTCATTCTTTGTGTTAATGTCCTCCATTAACAGGCAATTAATTTCTTATTTATCTTTTTTATTGATTTTTTTTAAATAAATAAATGACAGCGGAATGCATTACAATTCTTATTACACGTATAAAGCACAATTTTTCGTATCTCTGGTTGTATAAAAAGTATGTTGACACCAATTCGTGTCTTCATACATGTACTTTGGATAATGATGTCTATCACATTCCACCATCCTTGCTAATCTCCTGCCAGCTTCCTTTCCTTTCCACTCCTCTGCCATATCTAGAATTCATCTATTCCTCCCATGTTCTGCCTCCCTACCCCACTATGAGTTGGCCTCCTTATATCAGAGAAAACATTTGGCATTTTTTGGGGGGGATTGGCTAATTTTATGTAGCATTATATTCTCCAGTGCCATACATTTACCTGCAATGCCATGATTTTGTCCTCTTTTATTGCTGAGTAAAATTCTATTATGTATATATGCTACATTTTTTTTAATCCATTCATCCACTGAAGGGCATCCAGGTTGGTTCCACAGTTTAGCTATAGTGAATTGTGCTGCTATAAACATTGATGTGGCTGTGTCCCTGTAGTATGCTATTTTTAAGTCTTTGGGGTATATACCAAGGAGAGGGATAGCTGGGTCAAATGGTGGTTCCATTCCCAATTTTCCAAGAAATCTCCCTACTGCTTTCCATATTGGCTGCACCAAGTTGCAGTCCCACTAGCAATGTATGAATGTACCTTTTTCCCCACATCCTCACCAACACTTATTGTTGTTTGTCTTCATAATAGCTGCCATTCTGACTTTTAACCCCTACAACCAATTTCCTGCCAACGTAAATCTATCTCCATAATACCCTTCAAAATTCTCTTTTTTCCCATTTGTATGATATCTGTCCTAATTCTTATCTTCATTTTTTTCTTGTCTATGCATTCTAGTTTGTATCTCTTCCCCCCCCCTTTTTTTTCCTGGCTTATCAATTACCCTAAAATTACAGATTAACTTTTGCCATAGTATTTTTCAAGACTTTGGTGGGCCAGGATGTAGCTCAGTTACAGTCTAATGTGTGCAAAGTCCTGAGTTCAACCCCCAAAGCTGGAAAAAAAAAATATATATATATATATAAATGTTTAATAAATATTTTGGTGATTTCCATTTTATTAGTAAGTTAGAAATAGATTCTGAGCCATAGTATCAGTCTCCTTCCACTATTGTTCAATTCTCTCTACCAAATCTTACATATACCTAGTCTTACCTACAGGACCTGTTTACCACATGGAATCTCTCTCTTTGTCCTGGTCTTTCAACAATAAAATATCACAAAGCTCCTCTGTGACTTCCGTTAACTGATTCAAACAACAAAACCTTTTGTTTGGGATCTCTGTCAAGTGTGAAGTGCCACCTACACAAACACTCATATGCACATGCTTCACACCTCTGCTTGTGCTCTACCAGACCATGTTGTGAGAGCCAAGACAAGTTCTCCTCACCTAGTGTTCTCTGCATACCTTCATATGGTGCTTTGCATACTGTGGGTACACAGTGAAGACTTTTGTTCTAGCCCCTGCTGCTGCCATTTCTCAGTTCAATAGAAAATAAGACTAATCTGAATCATAGAATCTGTTCAGGCTTTTGCTTCATTATGAAGCCTTGTTTGAAAATTAGGAAAATATTGCCAATTACAGTCATTTTTCCCATTATCCCAAATTAAACCCTCTGTATTTCACATATTTGTATTATAGGGCCAGTGAAAATTATTAATGTTTGATAGCTAATGTCAGGAGCTATTTAACTAAAACCATTGTCTTTTGTGTTTCTGGCTCTGTTGCAATTCCTCCTGACCAATGGATATCAATAGAGGTGCCCCAATGTGAGGCAGCACTCTGACATGTAAGGGGACAGAAGAGACAGGGAACAGATAAGACCAAAGATTGTATCATCAGATTATTTTCATTTCCAATACAGAAAAGTATAATTAATTGTGAACATTAAGTGGAAAATTTCATCAAATGGGCCTCCAAAACATGTATGTTTAAGACACATTTCAGTAGTTAAGTTATTGAGGCTTAGAGCTGCTGCCACCACCTGAGAGGCAGACTGATTTGAATCAGAGGTTGCTATAGTTACCTGTATTCTATAAAACTATTGTTTGCTTTATAAAGATAATTTATAGTTTAAAGTATGTTTATATGTTCATGCATATTTTATCCTTAATATTACCCATTAAATCTATCCTCTAAAAAGTTAAAATGTGCACATATGCAGGTATCCCTGACAGTGTTTAGAATAGAAATGAGCCATTAAGGTGACATGTAGCTTAAGAAGAAGAAAGAAAGAAGTGCAGGTTTGGGGAAAATTGGAATCCCACTTTAGTATACAAATTATCTAAGTTAATTCTATAGGGTGTTTCCTATAGTTCTTATGGCCTAGTGGATGTCACTCAGAAATACCATGCTGCTGCAATGAAAGAATAAAAAGAAGCAAAAATGTCTGCTGGCATCCTGGCTCTGAAATTTGTAAACTGACCCAGATTTGGGCAAATCACTCAACTTTTCTGATAATTAGAGTTGTCATATATTATAGGGGTAAATATCAATACAAAGGTCCTGGATGGATATAAAGACTATATCTGCAATGATTACTGTTATTCTAACATACTTCCCTTTGTGTCACAGTCCTCAAGGAGAGGAGAAAATGTGAAAAATAAGCATAGGGTTTTTCTGCCTTGTGCTAAGTAGAAATGTTTCAATGCGTATATGATTATACTCTTAATTTCTTTGCTAATAGAATATTCAGGTCTTAGCAACCTCCCCTGTGAACGCCTGCTTCTCTTATCCACGTCTGTAGCATCTGATGTTGATACAGACTTTTGTTAAAAATACTGTCAATGTCAAGTCTTTCTACAGTGTTTGCCATCATCTTTTTTATGATCATTTTTACATCTGTCAAGACGCGCTTTCAGAGAGCCGTTTTGCTTGTTACCTGAACCACCTCTGTCAAAAATTCAAAAGGAAGAAAGATTGCCTTTTGTTATTGACTGAAGTGAAGGACAGCAGTGCTGTCTGGATGTGAAATATTTCAGGGAGCACATCCTATTACACAGTGTTGAGCTCCTTAGGTGTGTGCTTTCTGTGCGGAACATCTCTGAATAGCACTCAGAAATAAAAGAACAGAGTTACACAGAAGAGGCCTGGCTGGTACCAAGACCAAAGAAGAGAGGGAAAAAGAAAGGAAGAAAGGAAAAATGAGTCAAGGACAGAAGCAGACACACTCCTGCAGGATGATAGCCACACCACCCACAGAAACACAGCCACTCACTCAGCCATAGCGCTTCGAAGACTGACAGGAAGGAGAAAAGAGACTTTGAGAGACAATGCATGAGAGGGCAAAGTTCTAGGTTGATGTGTATGGCTATACGTCTTGGTTT